AGCCACTTCCATGTCTCAAGTCAAAACGTTGAGGTCAGACCCGCGATGCAAAAACCGAACGCCGAGGTCACACCCGTGTTCCAAATTCAACATGTAAGGGTGAGACCCGCATCTCAAGTTCAAAATGCAGGGTCCACCCCCACATTCCAGAAGCAGGATTATGGCGCATACCTTCACACAGGTCCTACGTGCAAATCCCTTCAACCAAGATGCCTTCGAAGCAAGTGCAGAGAACAAATCCTTTACCACAAGGAATCAACAGCTCCAAGATCAGAGTTGAGATCCAAAGTATTCCGAAAATTCGTCCCAGTCAACCGCGAACTTTCGAAAACTTTGGAGGGGGTTCTGTAGGCTGTCAAAAAAATCACATAGATAGCTGATCCCCATCAAACACCGATGATGGAAGTTACAATCTGACGACTTCCAGAAGGCTACAATTTGAAGACTTTCACGTAGATCGCTGAAGGTTACAATCTGACGACCTTCACGACAACTGATGGAAGCTCTACTTCAACAGCCTTCACAATCAACATCGGGAGTTACAATCGAGAGCTAAAGCAAAGATTACAAAATGACGATCTTTGCAACGCTTCGACAGAAAGAGACTACAAATCAATGGTCTCTTCAAACCAAGACGTGGAAGTCCTCCCCACGTCTCCAAATCGCTGCACAACGCAACTTCACAACGCTGCGTCCGAGCTTCCAGATGCTGCGTTCAAGCTTTTAGGCATTGCGTTTGGAGACAAAATTCATACCATAACGCGGGCCTGCGTTTGACTCGTTCAAACACGAGCTGAACGGTTTCAAAACCGTTTCCCACGATCTGAGGGGATCACAACTCCACTCAGGAGTGATTTAAGGGGCGGTTACATCCCATTAACCCCACTTAGGAGCGAATTAAGGAGATGGTTACACCCCTTAATCCCCTATAAATATCAACAAACTCAACAGAATTAAGGATCGGATTTTTTATAATCAGATCGAGGAGGTGGGTCGGTTGGAATTTCTGGTCTCGTCAACAGGATCCTTAGAGCATTTCTGGAGATTTGGAGATCTGTAACAAGATCTTCTTCATCCTTGGCTTATAACCGACTTTCGGTTAAATCAACTCTTTCATAGAGTTTTAAACTCGTTCAGAGTTCTCCACAACGTCAAATCGTGAGGAGAAGACCACATTCCAGTGAAACAAGACATCGGATCGTCAACGGAGAGCAAACTCGACGCGAGCATTCGAGGGAGGCACTCCATCACCACCGTGAAGAACCCAGAATTAAACAAAGGAGAGAATCCAGATCATTCTCTTCTCTTTTGTAATCAGGAATTCAAATTGTAATCGAGAGTTGAGAGAATTGTAATCATTCTTTTTCTAAACAGTTAGAGAGAATAAAATCAAGTACAATTCTTTTCTTATTTTCTTGTTACAAAATTTCCATCAAACAGGTTTCTTTCTTCCTCATCTAAATTTTGATTATAAATGGAATTTTGGTTAGTGAAAATTGATAATATTTTATTGTTTTTTATAGTGATTTAGTGGGAGATGAATAGTTGTAACGTTTTCTATCATTAGTGAGAATAAAGTTATGCTTAATTAGTGTCAAGAATTAGTGGAGAAAGGTCTTGAATAGGTGATTAAATGAAAATTTTGATGGTCATAAATATGGAGGTTATGAAAAATTGAGTAATGCTTGTGGCACCATGTATGTATGAATATGCACCGATGGATGTGTAGTCAAATGTGAGGTTATGAAGAATTGAATATTTATGTGTTTTTATAGATGTGTGGATCGATGTGTTGGACGACATTTTGGAAAGAAATGTTTTAACGTAGCAACCTACTTTTACAATAACTAGTATAGTGCACGTGCGTTGCATGTGGTATATGGCTATATCAAAATAACTAAAAGAATAATATATAGATATTGAATGAACGTACTAATAATATAATGTATTTATGTTTTTCTCTAGTGTAATATTCTTCTTAAAAAATTATTATTTTAATAAATATCTTGAGTATCATACTAATATTTTATTCGTGCATTCAAACTTGTTCGTGGATTCGAAGATTGTCCGTTGTGGATTCCGAGGTTACTACTTCCCCGCTGCGTCAATATGTATGAGTAATAAATTAAATATATGATAAATAATTATAATATAATTATATAATATTATGATATTGTAAGGAATTAAACTAAATTATAATATTGAATTATATCAAATCATTAATTATGATAAGTAATTATATTAATACCTGTAATATTTATATGATGTATTTCATCATTTATAAAAAATGGATTAGATAAGAAATTTTTTATAACAATAATAGATCTTACAAAGCGACAAATAATTCCATAATTGATTCGTATATTTCATGGACGTAATCAATCAATCAAACAAAAAGTAGGATTGTGGGCACAAATAAACTACATAAGAACGCATAAAATTAAAAGTACCTATTGAATTCATAACATCAAAACTTTCAAATTCATATAATAATACCCACCTTCGACAGTGCAACACCATCACCAGATTTCTCACTTTGCACCAGAGAATTGTTAGATCCAACGCATACCATATGGTATATATATTTGTTCCAACTTTCTTTACAATAAAGAATCTCGATATCAATCTCCTACTCTTAATGTTGCAACCGTTCCTCCCAATAGATGAAAGCTTAAATTCCAACATCATCGATCCAACCTAATACACGATATAGACTGGTTCAATGTGCATCTTAGGTCACCCATTTTATTACTGAACTTGCCTGCATAGGTTTCTTGACATGTGTTGGCACTATTGAGTTAGTTCTTGAGGTCGTACACATCTCTGTCTTGGTCATTGAGCTGATAGTTTCAAACATGGTCGATGACATCTTTGAGGTCCCGGACTGCATAATCGAAGACGACGTTCCTCGGTGGCGGCATAGAGGATGGTTGATCGGTTGATGGCATCTCTAATGTGGGTGTCGGTGACCTTTAAGAGATATTGGTTAGGGGTTTTAACGTTAGTGTTGTTGGCTTTGTCTTTAGGCTGAACATATAAAGGAAAGAAGGATGAGTTGTTACTGATAACAGAAGCCTAAAGGTTGGGGGATTAGTATCTAACTAATGGAGTTACAATGGTGATTTAATGGTAACTCTTAATGGATTAATAGGATTGATTAATGGATGGTTGTTTAATGTTGACGTTAGAGAATTTAAATGGTTATAGGTAATGAATTATAATCACCACTTATAAAACAATTCATTATAGTTGTAATGAAAGCACCTAATAATAAGTTGAAATCTTTGACGGCTAATCCTCAACTCCTCTCGTATATATATTTGTTGTAATGAAATTTTAGTTGTAATGAAAGAACCTAATAATAAGTTGAAATCTTTGACGGCTAATCCTCAACTCCTCAATTCATTATAGTTGTAATGAAAGCACCTAATAATAAGTTGTAATTAAATTTTTTATAACAATAATAGATCTTACAAAGCGACAAATAATTCCATAATTAATTCGTATATTTAATGGACGTAATCAATCAATCAAACAAAAAGTAGGATTGTGGGCACAAATAAACTATTATTTGTTGTAATGAAATTTTTTATAACAATAATAGATCTTACAAAGCGACAAATAATTCCATAATTGATTCGTATATTTCATGGACGTAATCAATCAATCAAACAAAAAGTTGAAATCTTTGACGGCTAATCCTCAACTCCTCTCGTATATATATTTGTTGTAATGAAATTTTTAAAAATATTAAATTAAATTTTTTAAAAATTAAATTAAATTAAATTTTTTAAAAATATTTTTCCTTATTAAAAAATATATATGTTTTTATAGTTGACGTATCATTTTTTTGGATTTGCATGCTAAAAAATATATAATGAATGACGGTTTTTATAAAATTGCCCGTGTATTGCAAGCTCTAGTACATGTTAAAAAAATATATAATGAATGGTTTGATGACATTAATATTGGATTAGTGGAGGGGTTACAAAAAATAGAAGTTAAATATTAGTGGACAATTAATAGGAGAGTTATGACATTATTAAGAATGCATGCATATATATGTATGTGGTTATGGTTATATGAATGTGTTTTATGGATTTTATGTATGTATGTATGTGTTTTAAAGGGTATTTTCGGGAGAAATGTTTTAACATACCAAACCACTTTTAGAATAGTATTAGATTAGATGTAATTAGATAGATTTGAGCAACCTAATTAGCAAAAGAAGAAGAAAAAAAGATGATGGAACATAAACATAGAAACCGTGTCATGCTATATTCTGGAGCCCTTTAAGATTTAAAAACTTCAAGAAAATTATAAAGATCCCCCCTCATTAGTTTTATACATTTATAACACACTATCTAATTCACAGTTCTACTGTAACATACTTAGAAATTTTACTCGATCACATGGAAAATCTTACTCACCATTTTACTAAAAGAAAGCATACATAAGGAAATTGATAGTCATATTATGCTCTTTAAGTCTGGTTGTAACAACTCAGTCGTTTATTATTCTACTACCAATCATCAATGCAGTATTAAAAAAATGAAACAGCTACTTCTTGAGGTCTAATTTCAGTGTTAATACTATCTTTTAGACAGTAAAAAAAGGAAATCTTTACAATTATTGGTAGAAATCTCTATAACCTCATATATAGAAACTCAAATTGATAGCGAGGAAAAAAAACCCTGAACTATCTCTCTAATAATCATACCAATGGTTATGAAAGAGTAATAATCGCATGTGGATAGAATGAGATGACATCTAGTATTGAACAAAGTCAAGTGGTTAAAAAGAAATTAGGTGATACTGCATGAGAAGTCACTGGCAAATGAGGCATGAAGATTAAGCTGAGAAAGTTAGACAAAGCATTCTTTAAACAAGTTCATGCTAAACACCAACTTAATTAAAGAGAAATATAAAGAAAAAATAAAAGTTGCAACTTTTGATCTCCCATGACTCCACAGTGCTGTCTTAAGTTTGTAATTGGACAGGGGTTGCTTTTGAGACGCTATAAATAGAGGAGGCATCCACTTCCACATTGCTCAACAAGTGTCCTAAATACTTCTTTCAAAGTTCTCTCTCTATCTCTCTCTCTCTCTCTCGTTATTTTGAGTTAGCCATGGCACGAGTGTTGGAGCCTTTGATTGTTGGGAGGGTTATAGGAGAAGTTCTGGATTCTTTCGAACCGAGCATGAAGATGATGGTGACCTACAACTCTAACAAGCTCGTCTGCAACGGCCACGAGTTCTTTCCCTCTGCGGTCGTAGCAAAGCCCAGAGTGGAGGTTCAAGGTGGTGATATGAGGTCCTTCTTCACACTGGTAATATATAATATACCTATAAACCTATTAATTACACTCTGACGTATAGCTCTTAATCGCTACAATAATGTATGTAATATTGAAACATATTTCTCTTATGTTTGCTAGGTCATGACGGATCCTGATGTGCCTGGCCCTAGCGATCCTTACCTCAGAGAACACCTTCACTGGTAGAAGAAAATTTTGCAACAATATTTGATGTGTTAATTTCTTCAAATTAACAAGACATGCATGCGTGTAGATGGCAGTGAATTTCTCTATCTAACACTATTAGTTGTTTCACACTAGGATTATTATTTATTTTTTTTTAAAAAAAATGTGCAGGAGATATATAGCAGTTGATTTTGCTTAACAAGAAACTACGAAATAGATACGCGTTAATACTGATCCTACTCGTCAAATCGGAGCAGATAAAACCTTACAGCTCCAGCTAAATAAAATGATAGCCTACACGAACACAACAGTCCCTGGTTAGATTATGAAGGGAAAAAGAAGGGGGAGGCACATCAACTTTAACAGCTAACTAGGAAGGAAAAAAAAAGGGGGGGGAAAAAAAAAAAAAAAAAAAAAAAAAAAATTAAAGAGGGAAGATTAATGACATTAGAGTTGACTAGTTGCATGTGGCTAATAGTTCTATGCCATGGTGTGGTGCAGGATTGTGACTGATATCCCGGGCACGACTGATGCTTCATTTGGTGGGTCCCCTTCCCTAAACTTAATCACATGGCGATTTAATTTCTCAATTACTCGTTGTGTTAATGGAAATACAGGGAGGGAGGTGGTGGCGTATGAGAGCCCGAGGCCCAACATAGGCATCCACAGGTTCGTGTTCGTCCTCTTCAAGCAGAAGAAGAGGGAGACCGTGAGCTCCTCCCCTGGCTCCAGGGACCGCTTCAACAGTTTGCAGAGAAGAACGACCTCGGCCTCCCTGTCGCGGCCGTCTACTTCAATGCTCAGAGGGAGACCGCAGCTCGCCGGCGTTAGCCTCCGGTCAATCAAATTCCAGTTCAGCTTAATCACTCGTGATTTATATATATATATATATATATGCACCTGTGTTAGTTACATTAATTTACATAAATTGGAGCAATGTACGCATGAATGGGAGTTTGAATATTATGTCAGGTGAGCGCTACGTGTCTCTTGGAGGAGGGTGGTCTGCCCACCAGCTATTAAAATTGTAGTAATGCCGCTATTATTTTGTACTGAAGTGTCCTGGTCATTGATGGTTGTTTGTAATGCTGCTATTAAAATTGTAATAGATTTGTAGTGCTGCTTTTATTTTGTACTGAAGTATCTGGACACTTTGATGGTTGTTGCCTGTACTTTTCTCTTTGTGTGTGTACAGTTTTTATGGCATGTTGTTTATTGCTATCTACAGAAAGATCGTGTCTCCCCTGCGTCAAAATTGTCAATACCAGAAAGTTACTGTTCCCTAGATTTTCCTTTTTCTAGCCACCCCCACTTCTGATATTCTTTCTGCTACTGCTCACGAGTGCTTCTTTAACCGTAGCGCTGCACAAATAATGGGGGGGGATAAAAACATCGTCCTTGTGCTCTTTGAGCACTTACTGATCAAACTGAACGCCTTCAGGCCTTGAAACCAAGATGATGCCGCTATGTAGCTAACAACTTAACTACAACATCATCAGATTCTAGTAATTATATTTTCCGACTACTTACGGGAGAAGGGCGCCCGCCTCCGTTCCCGTTATCAACAAAGATCGCTAGCTAGCTAGAGCCAGAACACTGCTAAGATCATTGTTAATCATGTACTACAAATGCAAACTCTCCGGTCAGAAACATGTACCGGATCCTAACCAAAAACGAAGCGGTTAATTCATTCAAAACATCGTTGTTGGAGATTTTACAGATTTGTTGTTGAAGACTTTGCAGATAAAATTGAAGTAAAAAAGTACTTGGACACAAATAAAATTTCGAAATAAAAACAAATAAGATTCTAAAACTGACTGTTATGTTACGACAGTCGTAATTTTCATATCAGTAGCCGCGAGATTCGTATCTTTCAAAGTATACGCCTGATTGACTATTAAGATTTTGCCCTTTGAAAAACTTGATTATGTCTGTACATGATCCAACAAACTATGTAAACCTCTTTGAACCCGAGTTTTTATTTCTAAATTTGACTGTTTAAGATGTCTAAGAGCGAGATCTCCAAAGTATTTGGCGAGATGTCTAACAGATTTTTGGTACTTAGGATATGAACATGCTATTTTTGTGGTCTAACCATTATCTTAGCATGTAAATGAGCTGTACGGGGGGCATGCATAGCATAAAGTTGGAGACAACATGAACAACAAAAGCAATATATGGCCTTGTCATTGTAAGATATTGTAAAGCACCCACCATGCTCCCATATTCAGATGAATCTACCAACATTTTCTTTTTTTGAGTTCCTTGTTCAGATGCGTGTTTAGGCAAATAAACTTTGTTTGTTTTTGTTTGTTCGGCTCTAGAAATTTAGAATTTTACTGACCATGGACACGGGGCGGCCTTTGGCCCGTAAGTGTATCAATGCTTGCGGTGAATGACGGCGTCCTCCCTTCATCCTCATTGATGCATTTATGGGGAAAGTCTCTTGTTAATTTGGCCAGCAAAATTCATATTTCTCTTGTCAAAATGAAGAGGGAGTTTATGCCTTGTTTTTCGCCTTTTTTTTTTTTTTTTTTTTTTAACCATTATTATTCAACCAACATTATTTTAAATATTTTTTTTTTCCTTTCACTTTTCCTAGTTATTACACTGGAACATTATTTGCCGCCTAATAGAACAATGTCTGTTCCCAATCCCAGAGATGCGTGTACTGCCCAAGCGTGAAAGGAAAAGATGGAGAGAAGCACTTTGTCAAACCATGACTAGTATTGCATCAAATCAAATTTGAAGGCACTTAACGTATCACAGTCGGAAGTATGATCCATGATCAAAACACAAATTCTTCATTTGTGGTTCAAATGTTTTTCTGTCCCCGCTTCAGCGTACACAAGAAACACGGATGTAGTTTGGTTCTACCAGTAATCACTTTTAACTTTGGTGGTTCCTTCTTATTCTTCTTTTGTTTATTTTGAGGAGTTAAAAATGGTGTGAGTTCTCACAAATGTTTGCATCTCTCCGCTTGGGGGTTGTTTCGCTAATTTCTTTCTAATGAAACACTGGGGATCGAGCTCATATATATGATTGTTGGAACCAAGCCATTTGAGCGTAATTGGGTGGATAAGAGATAGGAATTCACGTGAGACGTTTTTGGGAGAAAATGAAGGGGAAAAGGGAGGTCCCACTGTTGGGAGATCCCAAATCACAGTGGATTGTCCTTGTCTAAATAAAACACGAGGGTGGGGGGCGAAGGGGCCACCCTCCTCTTCCTTTTAACAGCACAAATATTTCCGTATGCATAATGTTCACTCAAACTCTACGGACAATTAAAAGCCAAAACCTCAAGTTGACTGGACCTCATGGCGTTTAAAGGATCAAACGACAGCACACAGCTTGCCCGATATCATTTGGGCGACTAAGGCCAGAATGGGCCGGGTCAAATAAGGACCCAGTTTTTAGCCCACCTCTTACAGCAACGTGAGGCCACAAACTAATGCACCAATGGCCATTTGCCAGATCACTGAGCCCTAGGAATTTCTGTACAGCGCTAGCTGTGCTTGGGAAGTATCCAGTGCACCCGTACATGTGACAAGTTGCACCTGCATGGATCTCATAGAGCCGCAGGTCAGGGTGGGCGTTGATCCCTCTGTTCGGATGTGCCAAGTCTAATGGACCGAGTTTACTGGATACTCCTACATTCTGGTATACTACTCAACTGTTAGTCAAGAATGAGAGGAAGAGCTTTCGGCTCTTCCTGTGCCTTTGTTGACAAGAGGATGAAGAAGTGAAAAATGGGGACTCTTGAATCAGGTGTTGCGCGCCGTGCGAAAGCGTGCTCGACAACCAAACGAGTCGGTGAGCGATGAGAGAAGAAAACCAAACCAAATTACGAGTGCAATTAACAAAATACGACACAAATCAAACCAAACACAAGGTTTTACGTGGTTCGGCAATTACCTACGTCCACGGGGAGAGGATGAGGAGATTTCACTATATAGAGGAGAAATACAACGGGTTACAACTCACAAAATCACTCAAATATAACCCTAATCAAAACTCTCAACTCTCTCACAATATCTTCCTCTCAAAGTGCTCAAAACAATGCTAATTCTCTCCTTAAAAAACCCTAAAAAACGTGGCTCTATTTATAACAAAACCCAATCCCAAATAGATTAGGATTCTAAAAACGAGTCTGCCACACCCTGGTGTGACACACACCACACTCATGACAAACAGGGCAGATTCTGCCACACCAGGATGTGACAGACACCACACCCATGACAGACAGGGCAGATTCTGCCACACCCAGGGCAGACACCACACCAGAGTATGGTGGAGTCTGTTTTGCTTATTCTTCATGTTTTTCTTAATTCCTTCGTCGTTTTCACATCAGGAGCCGGTCGAACTTGTTGACAACGAAGAGAGAGAGTGGAGGTAGTCAGGAGCCGGAGCTGCACTTGTGGAAGAAGAGAGAGACGGGAGCCGCACGTTTTGACCAAAGTGGGGATTGAAGCCTATAAAACCCTTTCCCCTCTCTTCCTTTGTGAGCATCCTTGAATCAATCGACAGAGCCTTTTGAGGAGCAAGAAGCAGAGTTTAGAGAGTGATTAGGGTTTGGTATTTGGGCAATTTTGTGAGAGAGATTGAGAGAAAAAGAAATAAAGAGTGATTTGTTGTTTGTGAGATTATTGAGTGATTGTAATCTCTATTTATACTCTTTCTCTAATAGTGAGATCTATCCCCTCCTTGCCCCGTGGACGTAGGCACATTGTCAAACCACGTAAATTTGGTGTCTTGCCTGCTGTGGTACTTGTTTTTTATCTCGTTTGTGATTTTCGATTCCGCTGCACACAACAAGTGGTATTAGAGCTTCGGGTTAGCTTGGGGTTCGATTTGGAGGATGGAAGGAGAAAGCTAGGGTTTTTACAAGGGATTTCATCTTCCAAGGAGTGGTGGAGAAATCAATTGGAGGATTCGGTGCGGATTCTCATTTGGAGGTACAAACCCTAATTTTGCTCTTTTTCAATTCAAGTTGTAGTTGTGTAATTTTGAGATTAGATTGAAAATTACCGAAGCAAGTACACCGGGATCGTCTTGACTAAGGCGATACAATGGTTGAGCATTAATAATACAAAAATTAATGTTCAAAAATTTGATGGCAAGATAAATTTTGGATGGTGAAGGCATTTGTGGGTTGCAACCAAGTCACATTGGTGTGAAGTCCTAGTAGTCAACAACAGGTAGAAGAAGTGTATTGACAGAAAGGTAATACGTTGTTCTAATTTTGGTAGAGGTTCTTTTCTACATTTGTGTCAAGCTCACTGCAGTTTGAGACACTTTATTAGAGAGGAAACATTAGGGCGACGAGATGAGATGACAGTTTTAATGGGTCGTTCCTTACTGGAGGAGGATCAGCGGTTGATGTCGAGCATTAATTTTGGTGTTGATGTTTTTGACATATTAGAGTCATCTTAGTCATAGGTTGTCGACTGCTATGTTTGGAGATTTTAGATCTGGTGGAGCTGCTTTAGTTTTTGGGATGCTTCAGATATTTGGTTGCCCAGCATATGGTTACATCAAGGATGTGAGATTTGATCCGAGTGCACATTTGGGATTCAGAGTCATGTTTGGTTATCAGATTTTGGACTTTGATTTTGTTCTGAGCAGGTATGTCACATTTGACTCTCAGCAGGTGGAGAGTATTGATCAGATCGTTGGAATATCGCAGCAGGTGGAGGGTAATGCTACTCCACGTTAGGTGGAGATTACTCCACATACTCTAGATCATATTACATCGTTTGGGATTCCAGCTGAGGTGACACAAATTGGGGATCATGTTGCTTTGGATGCAAATGATGAGTTTGTTGATTCAAGTGCAGCTGGTGGATATAGTTCGGATTTGAATATGGCCGTTGGTTCACCTCAGGTGGAGGTGTTTGGTTTGTTTCACTTTGAGTCCATTGGGAGAGCTATCAGTTACAGATGTGTTGGTGATGTTAGAAAGGGGTGCGAACTCTTCTAGTTAATTGGGGGCCTTTGAAGGCCATTGGGTGAATTACGTGAAGGCTTGATTCCATGGGCAAGAGGATACGTAAGCAGTCATTTTATGATATGGTCGATTTGGTGAGTTAATACCGATGTTTGGAGAGTGATCACATTCTCATTTGGGTCTCAACTTGTTGTAGATTGAGTCAGTTGTCGTG